AGCCACCTCAAGGTGGCTCGGCGAGCCACCAAGGTGGCTCAGCCACCGAGCCACCATTTGGTGGCTCGGTTGCCGAGCCACCACTTGGTGGCTCGGCTCACCGAGCCGCCTAGATGGCTTAGTGCCGAGCTCTTTCCCCGGGTTTTCGCCATGTCGTCCGTTGTCCGGTTTTATGGTTTCGCGGTTTATCCAAGTTTTATTGTTGATCTGGACTCTGATTTGGAAGTCCGGATCCCGATTTGGCAGTAAGTCCGCCTTGGTGTTTGAGTTCGAATCCGTTCTATGGTTGAATGACTCGTTGACTCCCCGAATCGTTGGCTTGATTCCGCACGCGAATGGATGCATTCCGTTGCTTGCGTGCGATTCGTTAACCTCGTTGCCTCGTTAATCCGCTTCGTTGCGTGTCACTTGGCTTCGGTGTTGTGGACTGACGCTCGTGTTCAGATACGTCACCCGATGGTTCGTCGGTTTGTGCCGAGCTGTGCTAAGGGACCTATAAGCAGTTTTATACGCCTACAGATACCCCCTCCAAAGTATTTCAATCTCGTTCTTTTATAGAAGAGTCTGGAAAACTTTGGATATGATTGTCCCAACCTTCAGTCGGTGTAACGGGACCTTGGGATGGCTTCTGTTCTTGATTCCTTCAATCCTTCAGACTATTCAGTGCTTTGTCGAATGTCTGTAAGGGTTCCGGTGCTGCATTTATTGTCTGACCGTTGTCAGAATTTTAAACTGGAAGTCGATTCCTGATTTTCTGATCTTTAGCTCGTGTTTGTTGGTTCAACATAGCACTGACCATCGATTGTTGGCGTTGAGTCTTTATTTGCGACGCGTTGTCCGGCGTAGTGTCGTTGAGTTATCCTTAAGAATATTTTTAGAAAAATATTCTCTAGGAACTTCTCAACCAAAAATAGGGAATAGTTTATACTCGTATACCTTATTGGAGTAGTTTCATGTCCGAATGAACTGAACCGGCCTAATAATGAGTTGAACCGGCCTGATATTAACCTAAAAAAGGCAGTAATTAGGCTCAAAAAATCTTCCGACCCTTCCGAATGTGTGGGAGAGGAAAGAAAATACAAGGGACTGAACCCTTGGTCGATTTGAAGTCATTTCGATGCTCGGTTCAGCTTCAATTTGTGTTCTGGTTCAAATCTGGTTCAACCTGGTTCAGGACTGGTTCAACCTGGTTCAGGACTGGTTCAAGACTGGTTCAGACTGGTTTATTCTGGTCTGGTCTGGTTCAGTCTGGTTTGGCTTGGTTCAGCCTGGTTTGGCCTGGTTTGGCCTGGTTCAGCCTCTTTTGAACTGATTTAGACTGGTCTGGTCTGGTTCAATCTGGTCCGATCTGGTTCAGGGCTGGTTCACATTATAAAAGGGGTTCTCTTTTCTTTCATTTCCTCCTCCTAGGGCTGGCCCCCCCTTTGTCCAATTTTCTTGATTTCTCTTCCCTCGTGCATCATTTCTCCCTCAAATCCTCATATTTGTCTTAGATCTAGCCTTCCTTTGGATCTTAGACTGAAAAATCTCTCAAAAATCTCCATATAAAAATTTCTCTCAGGCCCCCTCGAGCACGTGGTTCGAGCTTCTTTCAAGATCTGATTTTTGTCGGATCCTCGAGCTTTCTTTCAGGTATATCCTCCATAATTTTAGCATATTTCATGCTTAATTCAATTCATGAACTTGTGGGATCGCATGCGAGGGTTAGGATTATGATTTGGCGCCTCAAGCTCATCTTTCAAGGGGGTAGAATTGTAATAAAAAGGGAATTTTTTTTGGATCTGATCCCCTAATTTATTTTGCAGATCATCATGTCGCGTGTCCCGAGAGGTCGCTCCCCTGCTGCACCGGCTGATGACGTGCTTCCCTCGTACGCTGGTGAGCTATTTTTGGCATATTTGGAAATTTACAAATTAGTCCTCTTTTTCCTGGAAATTTGCAAATTAGTCCTTTTTTTCCACGTTGTTCTCCTTGGTGAGGCAATCGGGAAGAGCCTTGATTCTCCTTGGTGAGGATCGACGCTTTAAAGATAGGTTTTGCTTGGTCAAAACCATATCTCAAAATAAAGGGGGTGTTTTCGTGTTATTTTACACTTTGTAGGTCGGTGTATGTTACCACATTATTTACGTGATGATGCATACCGTTCTTCCAGTGTAAGAAACTCAAAGTCGTCTCTCCAATTACCCCGTGGATGATCTTATTTCGCTCTTTTATAAGACGGATTTAATTCATAGATAATTTTCTGACTCTATCCTTGTTTTGTTGCAGTCGAGTTCCCCACGGAGGTTTTCTCTTCGGTTCCCGCCAGACAGGCTATCGGTCCACTTCCTCGGTTGAATTCCCGCGATAGGTGGATGGTGAGACCCGAACTCATCCTAATATCCGACGATGAAGAGGAAGAGGATCCCATTGCTGCGCCTAGCCAAGAATTTGTCCTCCCGGTCCCCGAATCCGTGCAGGGCATCCTCCAAAAATTAGAGAAAGCCATGCAACAAACGGCCACCGCCATTAGTTCTGGACGGGGAAGATTTTATGATTTGCTCCCTTTCATAGCAGATAGTCTTAAAGACATTCGGCGTGTAGGTGGCATCCGGCTAGCTGGACGATGTGAGTTAAGGTTGACTTGCTTAGAGGAACTCATGTATCGTTTGGAAGAGCTAGTACACTCTGACTCACATGATGAGGTCACGCCGCTCATGATCGATGCTCAGATTCAGAGGATGCATGAGCGTAAGGCCCGAGCGAGACGCATATCAGAGCAAGAAATCATCATTGTGAACTTGTACGAACGACAACGTTATCTGCGAACTAAGATAGATGCTTATAACAACATTGCTGATAGTACGGGGATTAGGACCGTCCAAGGGGAGAGGACTCTAAAAGATTTTGAGTTCGAGAGCACCAGAGTTCAAAATGTTTATAGAGGAGAACTGGAAGCTCTTCACGCGTTGTACCGAGAAGACGTAACTGCCGACGCTGCCGCCGTTCTTGCTTATGCCAAGCTTCAGAAGGAAGAAGAGGAGAAGGTTCGAGCGGAACACGCAGAGGAACTTGCCGCTGTTAAGGCTAAAATTGCTTCATTCAGTTTGTTAAATCTGATTTGAGACGTCTTCTTATATCTCCACTTGGTCTGATTTTATTAATGAAACAAAGTCTTTTCTTTAGCGCACTCTCCTTTTTATCATTATGTTTCTCTGTTGATTGTGAACCCAACGGTCATAATACTTACAGGATTTTTGGTAAACCCTCAGCCATCAACGGGTTTGATAAACCTTTACCGACTACCGTTTGAGTCGGGCTAGCATGCGGATTGTCTAAATCCGTTCCGCATGTCACGTTGTACAAAGAGAGTGAATTCTCTGAGACTTTTGTGCTATGATGTCGAATACATAGACTTCGTCATTGTTACGGGAATAGGCTATCCGACGACACGTGTTAGGTGTTGACTTTAGGATTTTTGGCTAACCCCCAGCCTTCAACGGATTTGATTAGCCTTTACCGACTACCGTTTGAGTCGGGCTAGCATGCGGATT